TTTTCTATCATGTTAATTAATTTTATTAAATTGTATCTCTCTCATCCTTATATTATTAATGTTAGATTGATAATTTTCTTTCTAAAATCAATGACGATATAACAATTCCTTCGACAAGAAGATTTGTTTGATAATTTTTGCTCACGACGAAAGAGAAAGTCACGAGTTAATCCATGAACTAGCATAAATCGATAATCTCGAAACAAAGGAAATCTACATTACAGGTTGAAAGCTATACAAATGGTTGAGCAAACATCGAAAAGAAGCTTTTCTTGTGTAACAAACACAAATAAAGGAAATTCTTGGCTTTTCTCTTTGGCAAATTAAGAACGTTATTCTTCGGATCAGTAAACATGAATGTTGGAATTGAAATGATCAAATATATATATATATATATTTCTTGATATCGATATTTTCAATTTTCTTATCTGCTATAACATTCCATCTTTATCTAACTACGTACTTATTATAAATCATATCTGTTATTTACTTTGATCTGATTTGGTATTTGATTAATTATCGATTAAAATATTAGGATAAAAAAATTTGCAAATCATTAAGAATGATTTAGCAAAAGAATTGAGAACAAAAAAATTAGAATCCATTGAGATTTCTTTAACAGAATAAAAACTGCGCGAGTGACTCACCCTTAAAGAATCATTTACCTCTTACTTTTTCTTCTGTTTTCTCATTTTATTTTCACTTGCTAATGAGGCTAATTTTTTTGTTTTCTGACCTTCGAATCTCATTTTCTATCGTACAAAAAAACAATATCTAAAATTCACGATCGATTATTAAATTTAATTGACTCTAATTGTTTTGATCGAAACAACCCATTTGATATTACAATTTTTTCGCTTTTCGATACACCAATCGTCTCTATATATCATTGTTGATGCTCGACGAATTCGACAAAATTGGTTAGACGAAGAGCAACCTACTAACCGGAGCCATTTGTCCAAAAGAACGACGACTTCGGACAATTTGGATGCCAATGTATCTGCCGTTATATATTTCGTTCTTGGCGACACAACGCCGATCGAATGGAATCTTCCATTACATCAAATCGATTAAATTCGAGAATTCAAGATGTGGTAATGGCATCGCGATTTCATCCTTAAAATTTTGCTCGCATACTTATTTTCAATATATCTCCAAATTGTATTTTATAACACTGTTTATGTTAAAATGGTGGATGGTCGCGTTTGGGATTTATATGCATTTGACGATAGGACAGCTGCAACGCGGAGACCACGATAAAAATAGGGCGACACCTAAGTTTACGACACACGATTCCGCGAAATTCGATGGAATATTCGCGTGTTTCTTCCAGTTAATTCCTTAACGATTGATGAGAATTAAAATTTCAATAAAGAAACGTTCGATCGATCGAGTGATATCAAATATCGCGATATGATAATTTTAAAAGAAGAAAGAAAAAAACGTCGAAAAGAGAAATTTATCAAAATAAATAAATATATCGACCATTGATGAGTTAACGTGGTTTGGAGGAATTATTACGTGACATCTTGCGGAATGCAGTGTTTTTTGGATTCATTCGAAAACTTCGCCTACCGTTGCGCATTAAAGAAAATAAAGTACTTCCTTTCGGAAGACGGTTGACTCTGCTGTACGGTAAATTTATTTCCGACCTTCTACTTCTGTATTCAACCAACGATTTGAAAACAGTTCACGCGTCTTATCTTAGAGAAGAGCTTTGCAACGATTCACACCCCTTATCTGCATAATTTCCCGCAACGGTGCAGTTTTTTTTTTTTCGACCTCGATTTTTCATTCCGAATTTACGACCGAAAATTGAAATTCCATCTTTCATTTCGATTTAACTCGAGATAATTCGTGATAAATCTATCATAGTAAGCACGATATTTTTTTCAATAGTAAATTAATTCTTTCAAATTATAATATTTGAAGCGGTTAATAAAACATCACGATATCGATTAAACAAATAAAATTCGTTATATTCATTTATAAATAAATAAAATTTATTTATATCACGAAGACGTTAAAATTCAATTATATTTTTCGTCGCGCTAATCTTTCATTCCTTTCGTACCATTCGTAATTCCTTGGTAAAGTTAATTATAGTTAATAGTCCGCCATGATAATTAAAAGTGCAAATATACGAGGATGAAATCGTTCGTGTTACGAAACGATATGCAAATTATTGCAGAAAAATCCGATAGAGAAGAAAAATAATGAAATATCGTTGAGCCGACAGTGACGTATTAAACTCGTAATCCACCAATTATTATCGCGCACACGCTTCGCCATATTAAATTTTTGGAGCTTATCTCCATTACCATTTCGTTTCATTTCGTTTCTTTTTCTTTTCTATTCTTTTCTCTTCTTTTTTTCGCACTCGATCGATCGAGTTTTCCGCTTGACACTGATTTATAGTTACGCGAGAGATCGGTTAAACCACTTTATCGATTCCGCTTACCGAATAGAAAGCGTGGAGTTATGACTTCAATTCAATTCTTAATCGAAAATTTCAATTTCAATTTCAATTCGCTTCTTAGCAAAAATATTAAGTTATGAACGCGTTACATTTGATAGTTCCGTTTAAAGTTTACGATTGAAAATTTCCAATCCATTTTCTTTTCCAATCAACAAGATGAATTTTCTAAATATTTTTCTAAGTATATAAAATCTTAAATTTGCACGATTGTACATCCTATAAACCTACGATACAAAACATTAACGGCTCGTTTCTTGTCACTCTCCAAACCGAGCAAAAACAGCGAATAATCGCAACCAATCCAATCAATCCCGCTAAGAAATCGAGATTTCCCTTCCTCCAATTCGCCCTGGTGTATGCAAAACCGATAAGGTTTGGCCAGCGCAGGTACTCTAAATACGATTTATCTTCACCGACCACGAATCGAAACGCAAAACTGTACAGCCACGAAAGCACGTGGCGAGGTTGGAAAACGAGGGGATTGGCCCATCGGTTTCCCCTACGCAAGCCCAGCTTGCGACGGTCCTCTTCTCTGAACCACCTAACCGAATCCAGTCCGCGTTCGACAACGCGCCCCCTTCGTCTGCCTGTGTGTGTTGTGTCCCTTTTCACACCGTCCATTCCTCCCACGAAACATCAGTTAAGTTTCAATCGAAACGGGGAAAACAATCGCGCCCGATTTATTTCGAGCGAGCAGGTGGCTTGGAGTGCACGTGGATTCAAGTGGTGACCGGTGATTTCGAACGTTCAGACAAATGATGGACAAATCGTCGTTGATTCATCATCCTTCTTATCGTTCTTTCGCATTTTTTTATTAGAATTTATAATATTAGTTTTCTTTTTCTTTAATTTTCGTACAATTGGATCGATAATAGGTGAAGTTGGAAAAATTGTATAAAAATTGATGGTTTCGAGAAATTGGCGTTTAAAAGGGTAGGGAAAAGAAGAGGGAAAGATGAGAAGAGGATGCGATACTCTTTGGTATTTTAATTTTTCAATTATTCCGAACAACGCGTGATTGACGACCCCGTCTCGATCGGATATCGATTATTTTGGAAAACTTTTACCTCGCGCTCCTCGAGTACGATGACAAGAAGAAGTGGACAAATTTCTATCAAAATTCCAGAGAAAATTCTCGTGTTATGAAAATCAATAATACCGAAAATAGATATAAATACCGAGCAATGAATCTTTTTTACGGTAATATTGGACACGAATAAAAATGAAAAATCATCCAATTTCGATTAAACCAATTTGTTCGTTGTTTCGTTGTAAATTATAGCAACATAAATATCGCGATAAATTTTCGCAAAAATTATCCGAAATTGAAAATGAAATACGAGGAAAGAGACTTTACATTATTGTTATATTGGCTCCATTGTCGCGAATCGTTTCGACCTTTCGAAATGGTGGGGATTCTATTGTTTCATATATTAAACGACGAACTTTTACTTTCGTTTATTCGTACATTTCTCCTCGACTCAATTACAATGATCCACGAATCTGTCTATACATTCGTTTCTTTACTCAACGCATCCCCTGTTTATCGAGCTTTTAACGTAATTCAACGAAAACATTGATTCCTGTGACCTGGATACACACATGTTAGATTTAAACGAGTGAATTAGAAGAATCTCAATTTTATCCTGTGATCACTCTATTTATACACTCGTATCGATATTTTTCTCCGTATTATTATATTATATTTATAAAAAAAAAAAAAAGAAAATGGTTCAAAATGATTCATTTAACATTAAATTCTTTTTCTTCAGAAAAAGGGTCAGAAAAAGGAAGGAAGGAAAGAAAAAAAGAAGTATCGTTTAATTCTATTTTAATAAGTAGAAGGTGGAAGAAAGACATTAGTCTCGAATTCAGTTTTGTTTTGAGGAGGAACTTTCGACTCGATTTAAAACTTCCCCCGCGAAAGTTTCGGAATAAAAGAATGGAAAGGACACTCCGGTTTGCCAACTTTATCTATCTGTGGCTATCTTACATCTGCCACAAGCTATGGAATTTAATCTCCACCGTGACTGGAATAAAGTTCCGAATATATTTTCAATCCCGATTCTGACCTTACATGCTTATCGAAAGATCTGAGACTATTCTCCTTTCAGAGAGAATTTTATTAAAACTTCCTGTATCTCTGAAATTCGTCTATTTTATCTTTCGAATTTCGATTTTATTTCAATATCTGTACGAAAGGAAGTGCGCACGATTAATTTTAAAACGACAAATCTTCCCTGGGGAAAGATCTCTAAAGGAATCTTATTTATAGGATAATTTTATTTGAATATTCTACCTTTGTATCTTTATCATTCTCCTCATCTGTCCCTCGAGTTTTAAAGTTACCGAATATATTTTCATTATATTTATACGCTATATCAACTTCTTAATATAAAAAAAAAAAAAATACAATAGAATTTGTTTAAAACATACTCGATCGATCGAAATTGAGATTGCAAATTTCTCGCGCACGTGGAAATCCAATCGTTTTAGAAATTGTTTAAACGAGTGGTGTAATGAGAGGGAAAAGATAGTAAACATGGACGGTGTGTCTTGGTGACAATCATTCAAGATATGAAGCCTCGAGAACGGAACGAAAAGATTGTCGTTCTCAGTCCCGCTCACGAGGACAGTGGGGTAGCTTCCGGCGATATAGGCGAACTTTCGTTCTCGGGAGAGTGCGAGGGAGTCGTTTGTCTGCGAGAAACAAGAGGACCAAAGGGAATCGAAGGAGATGAAAATCAAGATCCTAGGTCTGACTTTATGGATACACTTTACGCACCCCTTGAATTGGCGATTCGTCGAAAAATTTCATTTCCATCTAAATTTCACTTCAATTCGTGTAAAGATAAAATTCATTTTCTAAATTTTCAACCGGAATTTTTCCCAGAAGAATCGAAATATATTCCTTCCATACGTGGAAAAAGGGATTAATTACGAGACAAAAATTTTTCAAAATTTACGCGGAAAGATAAATTTACGATTATTCTTCCAAACATTTTCTAAATTAATTGGAATCGTTTCTCCTTCGATAAAATTCGAAATATTTTTTTATTACGCTGAAATAGAGATTAGTAGCAGACTCGTGTGTCCGTTCACTGGTTTAATTATAACCGAGCATCGAGTTGAATACAGCGTTAATAAGTAATGGCACGAGTAAAGCCAGGTAAGACCGAAACAAGCGTTCTTATTCTCGTCTAACTGGTTTTCATGGTCCGTAGATACATCGCGCGATGCACCATAAGGCAGCATTACTACCCTGAGAGTGGTTGGGGTTGGGTGGTCGTAGTAACCGGCGTTATGGTGCAAATTCTTGCCGCGGGGATTCACGGGGCTGTTGGAGTGTGGTTGCTGTTGGAAGGATCGAAACGATATCGTCAACCCCCTCTTAACGTAGGTACGATATGCATACGTCGACGATCCCATTTTCTAATTTCAATATTTGGTCAATCTCGTTCTCTAAATCGGTCGATAAACATACGAGTAACACGCACGCATTCCTGTGCCCCTCCACTTTATAAAAGAACAGAGAGGCCGATACGACGCTGTTATCGTTATTATTATTATATTAATTTCAAAATTAATTCCATTACAACGCTTCGATAAATCAAAGTAAGGCGTAAATAAAAAAAGCTACTACAATTACAAACGTTGTCGTAAAATTTTTATTACGGGCTATTAAAAAAAATTCATACGCATTTAAATTCTCGTAGAGAAATATCCGTGTCTGTCCTAATTCAACTCACGTTTCTAAATCATCGCGCCGCGCACAGAGCATATTGATATCGATCTGTCGTGTCTAAATCTGCCGGAAGAATACAAATCCATACCGATGTTCTTTCCCCTCCTCGTGCGTTTAAAATTTATCGCGGACAAGCGGCAGAAACTCAAACGGAGAAACTCATCGAGTCTGAACTTGCGAGGCGGGCCTTGACAACGAGAAGAAGAAAAATACGGTATCGCTTGAATATTTCATGGGGTACGGAGAAAAAAAGGGAACGACAATTTGCCTGAAACGATAACCGTCTCGCTACAAACGTTTGTTATCGAGCGTTATTATAATTCAACGAGCAAAAACCATAGAAAAAAAAAAAAAAAAAAGAAAAAAGAAACCACGCCTCTCTTTATCGTCGTTCCCGTAAAACCGAGCTCGTCTGACGTTACCTCTTCTTCTGTTTTCCTTTTTCCTTCGCTTCGCCACGTCACCTCGACCCGCTAACGAGCTCTTGTTCTTCCTTCCCTTCTCGCCCTCCATTTACGAGGGTCGTTGTTTAGGAACGAAGCAGATTTCGATTGTACCGAATTTTTCTCGACCTCTTCTGAGATTTCTCTCGTTTCATCACGTCGAGGAAGAGGAAAGTGGAGTTTCCAAGAGAGACATTAGACTGCTAATTTTAAATAACATCGAGTGAACGCGGAGGATGCGAGGTAAATTTAGATTAAGATGAATTTTTCGTGAACACGAAGAAAATCTCTGAATTTTCAGATACAGATAAAATGTGATATTTGTTTAAACTTGGTATGTCTTCTCGCGTTATAATTTTATCGGTTAATAAAACGGTTGGAAAAATTTTACAGAAGGATCTGCAACTACGATCTTCGATCGTAAACTTTATAGTTTGGTTGTTATTCCCCCTAGGGATCGCCCAGCATCTCGTTTGGACGGAGTTGTCATGAGGTTACGATCCAAAGGACTGTTGACCCGCTATTTCGCCAATTCACTCTCCCTCTCGTTCGTTTCTTCGCTTCGAACGAAATTCAAGGGTAGAGATCGTAGCACCCTTGGGGATTCTCGATGGAGACTCTTGATCCTGACCGATGACAAGAGTGGAGAGAGGAAACGGTGTATAATGGGGGGGAGGCATCGAATTCGATTCCTTTGAAATCTGCAACTTCCTCACGATCCTTCTTAACTTCCTATATTAATTCATTCCCACATAATTTACTTCTACAAAATAATGGAAAGAAGGATGAATTCTTCAAGAAAATTTTCAAATCAACTTGAAATTGGTGATGCTAAAATATTTTCTTAAAGAAGAAAAATTTCAATAGAATCATTTCATTTATTTCTAACTATATGTGTTTTAATTAATCTCAAACGCACATTTTTCTTTATAAACCGCTACAATTTCAGAAAGAATTTCGGTCGTCACGCGGAGCAACGAGAATAAGAGGAGGAATTAAGTGAAAAAGAAAAGAGCGTTCCCTGCGAATAAGTTATTCCTGACGAGCGTTGGACAACGCTCATCATGCCTCCGACCTATTCAACCGAGATTAATAATCGAACCTTTTTGTCATCCATTAACTCCGCGTCTCTGTATAACTAAGCCGTAAAAAAAAAATTGCTTGGACAGGATAATCGATAAATTCGTCCCGGTTGTTTCTCACGGAACAAATCTTCATCCCTTCTTCTACTTTTCTATTCCTCGTCAAAAACATCTCTCAACAAAAAAAAATCTCTCCTCATCCTTTGATATATCACTTCGTTCTAAATAAAAATCCATTCAACCTTCTGTTCCATCATTTGTACAACGAAGGAGAAAAATCGAGGGTACCGTCCTATTTCGCTCTCCTTTAAAAAGATCTCAATTCTCAATTGAAGTCGAAAAGAAAAAGCCCGACACCTCGACCCAGCCACGAACCTATTAAATCAAAGTAACTCGAGTTCCACTAGATAGATACTCGCATTGCGAGTCGAAAGAGATTAATAACCACGCTTTTTATCCTTGGAATACCTTCCCTTTGTCTTGTGTGAGCGGCGCGGCGTCCCCATCTTCTGCGATGGACGGCATTCCCCGTTTGATCGATGAGACTGTTTGCCCGAGCATCCGCGGCTCCGTTCGCGTGAAAATTAATTAAACGGCACAGGCCTGTAACAACTAGGCCTGGCTATTCGTCGCGGTTTGTAATTAAAACGGTCTTAACCTCGATAGAGAAGTCTGACTTCTGTTCAACGGAAGGTTCAACGGTGTTTGATAGCCGGTCTTAGGAAGACCGAGGTAAAAGAAAACCGCGTGGAAGAGAGATGGGTGGAAGGATCGCGAAGATATATCTGGTGTTCGAAAAATTGAAGAAGTAACTTTAGGAAAACGAAACAAACACGAGGTTATGGGTAATTTAATTTTGTAATGTGGGATGGAAGTGTGAATGAAATGGTTTTATCTATTTGTGCGCAAAATTAAATTAGATTAAATTTTACGAGATCTTTCTCGTTTCGTCCAATGAAAGATCAAACTTACTTTTGAAGAATGATTGTACGAAATTTTCGTCAGACATCTAGTCTTTTTTTGTAGTCTGTTTTAATCTTTTAAAATCGGTACACGTGTTTTCTATCCGCTTGGTACTCTGTATAAAATAGAGGAAAGTGGCAAGTAGGTTGGCTAACTCGAAATCAATTTATCATTTCGATCTCTTAACGATGATCCAATTGGACGAAGAGAGAAATAGAGTGTGGTGGAAATACGGTGACTGGGACGAAATAGATAGGGATATCGATCTTGCCGCGATATGATTTTAATTGAGGGGAAGCCCGGTTACGTGAAACATTTATTACAATCGCAAACTAGAAAGGTGAAATATGGCCGGTAGAGATTGAAACGACGAGCGAGTGAAACTCGAATCCGGCATATGAAACGCATAAATCGTACCGGTGCAAAGCTCGAGAGAATTTGAATATCGGTGAAATGAACAATGAGGCGTGAAGTGTTTTCGGCTTTGCTTAATCGACTCGATATTATCTATATAATTAGATCAGAAACTATCGTTACAAGTTTTTGATTGTAATTATTATAAACACGATAAAATCCGCTTATAAAGATTTAACTAATACGAAGAGTTTGTGTGAAGATTGTGAAAGATTTCAGTTGCTTTTCCAAGAAATGTTCGATTCCAATCGTGTTAATTTCTCTCATCGATCAGAGACGGTTCTTTCGAGAAAATTTAACAAGTAGTGAAATAGGAGATCGTTGTCCATAACAATATTCGTGCGTTATCCATCGTTTTTCAACTATTCTTGCCAAAAATTATCGAAAAAATGTATGAAAAAATCGATTAAGAAACATTGATCTATTTATAGGATGGCTAGGAGCAATGTCGACAGGAGTGGCTCTACTAGTTTCACCGGTAACAATAGCGTTTTGTCGGAGAAAAAGTACAAGACTCACTGCGGTTTTGGGTGGCCTCGTTACAGCACTCGGCTGCCTTTTCACTTCTTTCGCCTCGCAGTTCCACCAATTGTTCATCAGCTATGGCACCGTTGTCGGTGAGTCACTGTAAAATATTATCAATTCCTTTACTCTCAATTTCTTCTTCTTCTTTTTTTTTTTTTTTTGAAGAGAAAAGTATAATAAGAAGTTGCATAAACATAATTTGCAGAAACGTTTCCTTTTTCAATCGATTAAATCATCATTTCACCTTCTTTCTTACGGTTACGCAATTATGACTGGACTTTTTATAAGTTTCACGCACGCCCACGTCTATCTCTAAATAGCTTGAAAAGAAACGAGATTCGCTCGTGCGATTTCTCAAAATTATAAGGTACAAATTAAAAAAATATAAATTAAGCGAAATTTTAATCGAGTTAAAAGATTGGGATAACGCGATGAGATCATGGAGTTTTTATTATATTACTTTACACAGGTATAGGAGTCGGCATGACCAGGGATTGTAGCACGTTAATGGTGGCGCAATATTTTAAGAGGAGACGAGAACTGGTCGAGATTTTCATCGTGTCCGGAAGTGGCCTTGGTATCGCTGTCATGTCGGCTTTCATAAAGGGAATGATTAGGTAACCTTATGATATAACACGATATAAATTTTTATCTTTCGTCAAACGCGATATGAAAACGTTAATGCTAAAAAAAGAAAAAAAAGAAAACGAAAAGTTAAAAACTAAAGAACGTTCTTTTTCTATTTTTTTTTTTAGCAAGATTGGATGGCGCTTAGGCCTTCAAGCGGTGACCGGTGTGGTTTTCCTCACGTTCATCTTAGGCACGTTTTATCGAAGCGCTTCCCTGTATCATCCGCAACGTAGAGCTATTCTACATCTGAAAAATCAAAAGCGTAAGATTAAGGATAAGAACAAGACGGACGATGGTCCGCCGTTCTTCGACTTCAGCACGCTGAAGAGCAAAACAGTAAGAATACTGCTCGTGTCCACTGGGATATCTGCCTTCGGGATCAACACTCCGATATTTTACCTGGTAAACTAGCAACTAGGAAAATTTAATCTATTGTTCTTAAAAGAATCATTGTACATACGTATAATATTTTTTTTAACACACGATAACAAACAATATTTAATTTTCTTTGGACGTCGTGAAGAAAAAAATGTCCTTCTTTAAGGCGCACCAAGCCGAAGAAGAAGGCCTTGGGGACACGGTGATCCTGCTTCAGGCTTATCTCGGTCTGGCCTGGACCCTCGGCTGTGTCGCCTTTGGCCTTTTGGTCGTGCATCGCAGCGTCGAATGCAGGATAGCGCGTCAGTATCTCACGCAAGCGGCGGTGTTCGTATGCGGATTGTGCATTCTGGCCCTCACCGCCGTTCAAGGAAATTATCACGGATATGTGTTGTTCGCCTGGATTTACGGTACGTTATCTCGAAAAATAAGCGTCCCCGACCTGTTCGCGAATTTTTCTCTTTCTTGAACAAATGAAATTTGGAAAGCCAGATTCTGATTTCACCTTAAAAATTAAGAAATCCTGGTTTCACAGGCATCTTTTGCGGCGGCTACCATTACAGCCTGAAAATGTACACGTACGAGAGAGTCAGAGCGAGAAATTTCGCGAGAACGTGGGGTTTCGTTCAATGTTCCCAAGCCATACCGATAGCGATTGGAGTTCCAATCTCAGGTAAAACGGGTAACGTTCGAATCGTTTCGAAATGTTTTCTCCATAACGTTCGAAACGAGGAGAAGAAATCGAGGAAAGGGGGTTAAGCGTGGGAGAGTTTTTGCAGGATACATGAACATCAGTTGCGGCGGGAAAGCTGGTTACTACTTCAGCTCGACGTGTGTACTGGTGGGCAGCTTCACCCTCTTCTTCATAGATCTTCACAGAAGAAATTTGTCGAGGCACAAACACGTCAGGTCTAACGGGACCAAGCACCTCTGCGTCTCGGACGCTTGTCCGCAACGCAGAAAGTTGTCGTTCAGCCAGGAACCGGACAACGATGGCCCGCACGTGGCCGCTGCCGGAGCCGCTGCAGCCGCCTCGTGCTTGGTGCTGAGATCGCGCCGAATCAAGGTGAGCTTAATATCCAGGGGGAGGATCCATAGTGTCAACGATCGTGTCTTTGGATTAAAAAATTTTAAATCGCAACTAATCGTTCGAATAAAATTTGTATGAGACGAAGAAGAGAATGAAATCTCGTTTCAGGCGAGTATGTCGACGGTCTTGCCCCAGAGAAACCCGAGTTAACGTGCATCTCTGAGGAGGGAATCGCGGACATGGATCTCCCCGACAACATGCTCGAGGACCTCGATTACATCGGGGATTGTATAACCTCGTGCAACAAGGTCGAGAACTATCTGATGCTGTCCGAGTTCGAGAACAATCTGATAGCTGAAATACCGATCATCACGGATCGCCGAGGTCGAAGGTGGTCCCTGGCGCGTTCGAAAGGTGGCCAGTCGAACCTCGACCGTCCCTCGGCACCTCAACCTCAAAACGAGGAGACCGAAGCCAAGCCTAAATGGCACGCGGCGGCTCCTAATGTGCCTCCTAATAACAGGGTGATCACCGTGATCGACGAGGCAAGCACGTAGCTCGATCGTTAAGATCCTTGTAGATCGAACTGTGCGTTGAATGGATATTTAAATCGAACTTTCTTCCTTTCTTTCTTTTTCTTCTTCTTCTTCTTCTTTTTTTTTTTAAACTATATTGCAATTTTCATCACGCACGTACAAGAAGCAAAGTTCTTACGCAAATGAAATTATTATACGAAGGTTGATCATTAATCATGCATACGAGTGCGAGGAATTGGAAAAATATTTTTATGAATTTTATACATGGATTGAATTTTCGAATAGTTCGAATTGAGTAATGGAACAGTACAAAATGAATGGATGGAAAAATCATGAATTAGGAAAGAAAGTTTATTTTGAGAGGCTGATTTTTTTCTTTTTGTCTCGTTTGTTCGCCTTTGATTTAAGATATTGTTAGAGATCGATAGAGGACGATAAGTAATAGCGAACACGGTGGCGCGTTAATCTGGACAAGACGGGTCCCTCACAGAGGCCGTAAGAGGGTCCAGTTATTGGATCACTTAATTCGCGGTGCAATTAAGGACAATAACGTCGGCTTTCGACGAGAGGAACCACGGAAACGTTCCGTCCACATGGAGATAACCTCGACTCGCGTCGACGTGTTTGTTTAAGCTTCGTGCTAGTTCACTGCCACGCGTAGAATTCACGAATCGGACGATCTTTCATTATATATCGCGCGAACGATTGACGATAGTCGAATACTTTTTCTCGAAATAAAAATTTCTTTTCTTTTTAAACCCAACGATCTTCTATGCTTCGAACGAAATTATTTCATTAATTTCGAATCGAAATGTATAATAATAAAATATGAAACGAGGATCGTCCGATTCACGTCGATGTAAAAGTCATGATCTAGAGCCTTTATCGAAGGAACCGCTTATATATACTAGTAGGCACTGCTAGCTAAAGATACTGAAACTAGTCCAATCGAAATTCGTATTGCAGCGATAAATGGTATATATATATATATATAGTATAACGATACGTGCAAATATTAGCATTACACGAGAGTAATTTATCCTTGTACCGTTGTTCGAGCCATTTCGAGATGAATATTATTCTCTTTCGATGATTCGAGCGCGGATCGCGACCGGTACAAAAAGAAAAGAAAAAAAAAAAAAAAAGAAAAACGCAAAGAGATAACGAGACACTATTTATTTATCAAACTATTTATATTAGAAATTATTCATACGCATATCATGTACATATACACACACACATATACATTTGTAAGCGTATGATACACATGCGTATGATATTATAACGTAGATTAACATTAAGAGATTAGTCGATTAAGATTATAATTTGAAGCCAATCGAATGCCGAAGAGAATATTTGTACAGGGAAACTAGACTGGTGTTACGAATCATTGAATTATTTTTTTTTTTTTTTTTTTTTTTTGAGAAATACGTCGATCGCGTCGACAAATCGAAGACAAAGATAGATTGAGAGTTTCACGAGTAATTTGACAAAGATGAAAATGAATCATAAATTATTTTTTAACGAAAAACGACTCCCAATGACTCGACACTTGCCTACGTAACTACGTGTTTAAGTTACATTTATCGTATTATTGTTATCATTATGATAACAGATGGCTACTAGTCGAAAGCGTTGCTCGATCGACGCGAATGAACAATAACTTACAAATTTATTACACGCCACAATAAAAGATACAACACGAATAAACTGCCTATATATAGTATATATATATATATATATATTGTAATATTGTAACGTTGTTAATACAGAAATGTGATTTTATCAAATAATCTCTAGTCGTTTTCTTTTATTACACATTTCGCGAAACAAACACAAGAAGCACAATGTGTAACGATGTCCTTTCGACGCAGTTATATTTTCCTTCATTAACCTACTTCATCCATACACATTTCTCTTTCGCAATTAACTTGCGAGATAAGGTTGCACAAAGACTTGCAACTTTTTTTTTTTTCTTTTCGAGATACAGAACATACATTACATCCTTCGCTCTTCAAACATCTAAAGCTACGTGACTTATTTGAGAAACTCTTAGAATGGAAGATGATTCTAGACATTATATCTTCAGACTATTTTTCCTCGTATAATGTCTCTTAACATTCGTACACTTATGTTACGAAGTCAATTAATGAAGCGAAGAAAGAAATCAAACGAGACGTGTAAATATTCAAATATCTTCATTATTATCTTTCATAATTCATTAATATCTTCGTTTGATAAACATTTTTTTTTGCAAGAAAAAATGCTCTAACTGATGGAAACGAATCAGAGACGTTAAATAAATGTAAGAGCATGCGTTGTAATTATTTATTAAAATCTGATTCGTCCACTTTATTTGAGATTAAACAATAATCGAATATGATTTTTCGATGATAAAAAAGATGAAAAACACGTCATTTCATTTTTGATCGTTCAATAAATTTAGATAAGATTGTAAAGAAAGATCTTCAAAAAGTGAATTAATCTGTAATTCATTTTTAGACGCTTTTCTTAATATAACAAATGAACGAGAATAAGCAACGTGTCTAAACTAAAAAAAAAAAAAAAAAAGGAATACAAAAGATTTCTCTCGTTCGCGGAGAAGAAAATCCGCCTTTCATTCCAAAGTTTTACGTTCGAGGAAGTTTCAATTATACAATTAAATGCAATTATCGTATCGCCGAATGTTCCATTACGACATCGGTTCACGTAACCCTGATAATGCGATATTAATTACGAATTCTTGGTAACCAACAGTTGAACGTTTGTTACGTGCATTGGCATGCGAGAAATATCGAGCGCGGCCCACTATGCACCGACACACACTTTATCGATAAATTCTAATTCGCTTTAGTCACGATTCGATAACACCGATTAACCAACAAATACGATTCGTATTGTAATTATTTTCCTTCCTATTTCTTCTCATCTTCGCACAATTCGTCAAACGTTTGATAGATAGAAAGAACCGAGAAATATTGACGATGATTGCAAAAAATTTGATTGCAAAAAAAAAAAACGAGTAAAACAACATTCGTAGACAACATTTTGTGAGAGAGATGTTCGAATCGAATAAAGTTTAATTAATTCGAATCGTTGAAATAAATTTATGTATATATATATATATAAATTCGAAACCATTATTCTTTTCTCGAAAAGAAATTGACAAATTCGATACATTCGAATTCGGGGAAAAAAAAAAAAAAACTCTGAATCAGTGTGGAATTAGAGGAATTCTACGATTTAATACCACAATGCGAAGAACACGAAGTGATTTTCCTCGGAATGGAAATCGATTTGATTTGAAAACGAAACGAGCATGGTTAAGAATGGGATCAGACGGTGCGTTAATTGCAGTGCAACGTAATCGTGTGCGTTAATCAGTGATCGGCAGGTTGCGTAGGGCAAGAGGTATGTTAGCAGCACTTACGAACAGTCGCTCCAAGGCGCCCCATGAAGGTGCCCCCTTGGCGTTTCCATCTTATCACATAACAAATACATACGGCGCTATCATATTCTCGAGGTAAGATTATCACGAATTCGTTGAACACGATAGCGAATTTGCATTCGTGGAACGGATTAGATTTTCGTTCACTTTCTGCTGCTCGAACACGAACCGATCGTTTTCAAAATGGTGGTAATGTGTGTCCATTAGAAACTCAGCATTGTGACATTTGATGATTTTAATTTCTACGACGGGACGCGTCGTATCGAGTCGAAATGTTTTCAACGCGTTTGCCACTTTTGCTTTCTTTTTTTCTTTTTTTTTTTAATTCTTCTAATTCGTGGGAGAAGAATTTTCATAGGGAGGGAGGAAGAGAAAATGATCTTTCGAAATTTTTATTTCGATCACCTTCCGATTCACTCGTCGTTATCGGGATTTATTCGCATTTTCGCTTCGGTTTCATCTCGAAAGTAACCTAATCGTGGGCAATCGTACGATTATGAAAATCGAGTCGTTTGGAATGCGATAAGTATCATTTGATAAGGAACACGTTACGTTTCAGTGCTCTGGGACAAACGAGTACGAGAATGCCCTACGGAAAGTTGCACGTTCTTCCATTGAGCCTCTTTATCCTGATCCCGGTGACGTTTCTAATTACGTAAGTTTGCGTCGATGCAAAACCGCCTTTTCCTTCCTCTCAAATTTCATTAAACACTCTACCGGAGTAATCTTTTTCATCTATCATCCATCTTCTATTTTGTCACATCGATTAATAATTAAAGTTACTTTTACGCGTTTTCAAAAGTTACATTACATTACGTGAACCGGATGAAATTTATTTTTTTTTTTTTTTTTTTTTTTAATATAAATTTTGAAACTTTCTTGTCTCTCGCCTCGTGATTGAAGATTGTCGATAAGAATGAAAAATTAATTAAAAAAATTTTCCGCCAATGATCGGAGATTCAACGATTGGATTGGAAACAGCGAAGTAGTTGCGATCAGAAGTAATTGGAGAGAAAATTAAATCATAATGGAAAACTAATGCTTGTCGGTTAGTTTTGCGGTCGATCAAGGCCATTTAATAAGAAACAACGACTGCCACTCGAATTCTGTTCCTGGTGGCATGATATAAATCACGATTAGTTTGATTCATTATACTCGTCTGTGTACGCTTCGCGGGAATCGTTGTTCTGTAAATAAGATTGCTTTCAATCGTGGATCACCGATTGAATGATTCGCGACGTCGAAACGCAGCGAAATCTCTTTTTTTCGTTATTAGAAATTAATTATAAAAAAAAAAACATTAATCCGATATTACGGATATTTATCTTATCTTATGCGTTAATCTTATTACACCGACAAGTCGAAGATTTAAATTCAATTTGCAAATATAAGAATTAATGCAAACAATAATTTTTATCGATGATCAATTTTAATTAATCACTTACTTCGCTTTGACATTCAATTGTTTGTTTCAAATTTCAGATTATTATTCGTTATTATTTTCCCTCCACTTTTTACTTTAACATTTACAACTTATTTACGAAAACAAAAAGTGCAATACAACATTTTTGACATTTCACGTTCTTTCAATCCAATAATCCTTTGCTATTTTATTCTCTTTTCTTTTCTTTTCTTTTCTTTTTTTTTTTTTTTTTTTTTTAGGAAAGTTTAACAAAACTTCAAATTTTACTTGGACACTAGAATTGACGCAAGAATTAAATAAGAAGAAGAATAAAATAGATTAAAATCGATTTTAGAATCGTGTCACGAAATTCACACGTGATAATTGTTCTCTTGTATAGAACAACGAGAAATGAACTGACATGCTTCCGTTTTCATATTAATCGCATTTCAGGTACACTATATCGGTGCAGTGGGACCACGTGGTGCCAGGATTCCCATACATATCGGAAACAGGCACATTGTCGCCGGAATCGTGTATATTTGCCCAATTCCTTAATATAGCCGCGTTGCTCCGTAAATTTCGTCTGGAATTATACATTTAAAAACGTAAACCAATATCGAGATTAATGGGACGACGACTAACGACAGTAACGTGTATTTTAGTCGCCTGTTGCGTGTACATCAGACATCGACAAGTTTCCCAATGGCAATTGGAAAGGGGGAACGATCTGGTTAGCAAGAGGATCGTTGTTGTGACGGCGTGGTGCGGCGTTCTAGCCTGCTTCGGTCTCGATATTCTGGCCAACTTTCAAGAGGCCCGTGTCGTGGGGGCTCATATGATCGGGGCGATGACATGCTTCACGGCTGGAACAATCTATTTTTGCCTTCAGGTACGAGACAGTGCCGAGATTAACCTCCCCCTCCCCCCCCCTCCCTCCTGAACGCGTGTTTAACGCGCGCACACATTGGGTGGAATTGGAGGAAAGTTCGATAGAAATAGAGAAGTTGGAAAAATTTGAAACTTTCTAAGAGATAATATGGTCTAAGCGATGCTAATAGCCGAAACTGTCGTGCGGAAAATTTAGAAACTTTCTAGAAATCAAAATGGTACCAATGGAACGAAACTATTCTCCGTTTTAACGAGCATACTTTCACAGAAGTAAAACATTTTGTTATTTTAAATAAAATTTAATTAAAAACATATGACTCGTGTATCTCGATAATAATTGATATTTGACCTATTTTTTTCAGACGTATTTGAGTCACAAAATGGTACCGGCAGTGAACGGACGAGTGGTGGTTTACATCCGCGCGGGACTTTCCGTTTTGACGTTAATTTTGACCATCGCCACGATCATACCCGGCTACATATCAATGCTAGAATTTCAAGGTGATATTTCTCGATATTTCGAAAAAAACATAGCGATATCTCGATAACAAGAATGATTTTGTCGATTCGAGCAGGTAACGATTACAAGAAATGGCTGCCAACGGACGGTGGATGGGGTTGGCACGTCGCTAGTGCAATTTCCGAGTGGGTTCTTGCCATTGTTTATTGCTGCTTCCTCCTCACGTTCGTGCCAGAATTTCGATTGATCAACTTCGAGGATCCAGTGGTTACGGTATGCGCAAATTCCTACGTAAATATTAATTTAGCAATAACGTTAGCGCGCATTATTTGTCACACAACAAGATAAGGGTAATTAATAGCACGTATACATTAATAATACGTTGAATCATAATTTACAATGGAATGTTAAAATTTCAAACTGATCGCGTGACAATACGATTACGAGTCGATTACAATTCGATTAATCTTATCTTGGCGTTAAGTTAAATCAGCCCAACGATTAAATCAATTTCTCGAATGACACACGAATGTTCTGTTTTTTCAGCTGATATATCTAGACAAGGACCAAGACTTGAAATTGTCGCACAAGCTGAGCTCGCAAGTTCAAGAGTCTTGAGATCCCTCGGATATATGAAGTCTCGATTAAGTATTATTAAATTATATTTCTTCTGGAGAGTATGCATCTAATGATTATTTTCAAGCAATAATAATTTTAAAAATGTAACAGCTTCGTCAGATATCACGTTTTCGAGTCGAGTTAAAAGTTATTCAATGAATAAGTACGCGTACGTTTCTACGTTTCTTTATCTTTTGATTCTACTTAATTATCTCTCGATTCACTTTACTCCAGTTGGTGAACGGGTTACATCCTTGGTTGTAAAAAAGACAAACAAATTTTTTTATTTCTATTAAAAATAATTTGTAGATTTTCTTAATTTGTCAAGTTTCGATTTAAGATAATTGTAAATTAAATTGATTTTAACGAATTGGAAAAATTGAAACGATAAAAAAATGATAATCAACAATAAGATAATACTTCGTCTTAGATATTTCTTTACTCGAAAATTATCTCGATCTATTACCTTCGTTATCGTGCATAATGCCGATACTTCGTCCTTTTTTTTTCTTTTTTTTTTTTTTTTTTTGTCGATCGATGAAACTTAACGCGTATGATAATAATATCCGGATGGATTGATCGACGTACGAGTGTCATTTCTGCAAAAAAAAAAAAAAAAGAACACGCGAGCAAATATTGAAAGTTAGTAATTAGGTACGAGAAATACGGTGTAACATCTATTTAAAGTGAAACTCTACTCGTACAAAGTGCATGGTACAGTGGCTCGCCGAGGATCGTGATTTATCTTTCTTGGCGCTCGATCGAAGTTCCTTTGAAAAGATTCAGGAACGTAGCACAAATCTTAAGAAGTCCTTGGAGAAATTTTTATCAATTATTAACACGTATTTTGTAATCGATCTCGTTAGACTTGATTTTCTTTCGAATGTGCACACGTATCGACATTGGATGCTGAACAAATGCTATTATTACTTGCGTCAACAAACGTTTTAAAAAACGGGATTTGTCTCGAAATAAATAAATAAAATTTTGCAATTTCAACCGAAATTTATTACATTAACATGTGAACAAATTCGCACTCGATTCAGATGTTTCATTCTTTCGCGAAATATTCTCTAAATCTGCAACTACGTGGGAGTATTTATCTGGGAGTCTCTTCTCTGAAGTGTGCAAAGATATCGAGTTACTCGATCCTGACGTTGTCGATATTATCAATCGATAATTGCGATTTTCTTCAACCGAATTTAAAAATCTTCTTAACCAAACTAACGTAATGAAACTAACGTATCAAACATTCGTCGTATTCTCGTTCGTGTTCCATGGAAAAGAAATAAATATTGGGTAAAAAGTAATTTGAACTCGACTAAAATTCGTTTAAAAAAAAAAAAAAGAAAGAAAACTTTCTCGTTTAAACCCTCGTTTAATCAAGGAGGAAAAAACGAAGCGTACCGCGAAATAAATACGATTCAATTTCAACACCGATACTTCTTCGATACTTGATACGAGTTCGAGGAAAATTGAAAGAAAAGGAAAAAGCGTAAACATGCGATAGAAGAAATTCACGGTCGTAAAGCGGAACACCGATTATCTGAGCAAGGTGCGGTAATCCGGTATCGATAACTGTGTACACGTATATACGTATATTATCGAAACACGTTCGCGAATAGTGTCGGCATAAACGTTTCTTGGAGAACGTCTGGCAGGAACGACGTCCGCGTCAGTCTCGTGGCGCAGCTGCTGAGAGCGCCGTTGGCACAACATCGATCGCGCACAGTCGGCCATAACCTCTGTAATTCCGTTCGTTCCTCACCCTGGCCTCGCGGCGGACCGAAGCTCGAAAATTGCGCAGGAACAACAAAATCGGGATGGAACGAAGCTAGGTGATATTTGGTGGATCGTTGCTCGGATATCATCGACAGGAGGAAGTGGAAACGGTGCGGTTGGGCGCCGTGGTTGTTGTCCACACGATAAGAAGGCCTTCGATCGTGTGCAGCCCCTTTCCAAACGGTGTCCAGTTGTCGGTGGAACGCGTCCACGGCTCGACGATTCGAGAAAATAAAACGTCGAAGGTACAAACAATTTGTTTCATTTCATCGGATCGATTCCGCTCGGTTTTTCCACTTGTGTGCCGTTGCTAAGTACGCAGTAGGGCTTCCACTTGCGATTCGTTGCAAGGGTTCCCCTTTCCTTTGTCCCTAGACAACGCCCGCGTGAGAACGTTCGCATGCTTTGCGCGTGACTTCTCGCGAAAACGTTTCGAAACGTCGTGTCGACAAATATTCACGGTGACGTGTGCCGCTCGCTGCAGTTTTCTTGCTATCGCGTACGATATTTATGGCGCGCAGCTTGCTTCGGCTAAATTCCGTTTCACGCCAACTGTTTCTCGTTAAAAAGGAATTTTTCCATTTTATTCTAAAGAGAAAAAGGCGTATCGTCGCAGGCGTTATCTTATGTTATTGCGAATCACATCGGTATGTGATTTGAAATTGATTAATTTCTTCTTTTTTTATAAATTTCTAATTTTAAAACAATACGTACAATATATACAACGATGTGTATATGACTTATTAAAAATTGAGATTATTTGTAACATTCTACTCGAATCGAATAATAGCTGAATCATGTCGATAGATATAGAAAGCAGACTACATTTGATCATATCCCGGCCACGTGATTCACGATTGTTGTCTCTTTAAAGGTACTCGAAGTCGAAGAGGGACGTTGATGGCAGTCGAACTGCAGTGCGGTTGCGGCTTGGATGCATCGTAGCGGGTGATTCCCCTGGGAAGGAAGTGGAATAAGAGGTCCAGCCTCTTGGAACAGAGGAGCATGAGTGCTCGTGGCTCGTGGACGCGTGCAACGACGCGTGTTTCTTCTCGATAGCGGCGACTGCCGCGGACGTCGTCGTCTGACGTCATTGGTTCCGGCGGGAAAGCCGACAATAATTAAAAACGCACACTGGAAACATGGTGGACAAGGAAGACGTGCTCGTCAACCTCCATTATCTACCGATCTTCCTCTTCGTTTCATTGCCTTCCGTCTTTATTTTGACGTAAGCGATATTTTTGTGCGACACACGTATATATGTATATATACACATTTTTACAATTAGAAATAATTGTATCGATATTTTTTTGATTTGCTTATTTCGCTAAGGGAAGAAATTTTGTTTGTTTGCACGCGATTAGTTGCGTTTAATTGAATTAAATTCGATACGAGAATGCTTTCTTCCTTTAATGTCAAAGAATTTAAAAGTGTTGCAATTGTATGCAAAGTGAATATCTTTCGGTTGTTAATTTGGATTGCAAATTGCATCTAATTTGCATAATAAACCGCGAATGTTTACATATTTTAATGCACGATGCGAATATCTGTCGGATATTTAACGTTTAACAAAAATCCTCGAATTTATGGAAACATATTATATCAAAAACATGACAGATAGTCGTCGAACTGTTAAAATGATGATTTAATAAGCTAAAAATATAACGTATTTATATTGCAGTGCATATATGTTTGATCGTGTAAGCAGATAAAATATTGAATTAGCATCTGCTGATCCTCTAAAATAAATTTACATGTATTCCTTCGAATATGCAAACAGATTTCTTGCATTCATAACTTAAGCTTACCAGTCCTTTCTCTTTATTGCATTCCTCTTTTAAGTACAATAAACGTCATCCATTTTCCATTATATTTATTGCAAACAAATATACATACATATACATATATGCATTTATTCCCGTTTTCCAGTTATATAATAGCAGTTATGTTGGGCCACGTGGAAGCCGGGTTTCCTTACATCTCGGATACAGCCACTTATGCGCCAGAAAGCTGTATATTCTCCCAATTTATCAACATGTTCGCGATGCTCAGTGAGTACATTAAAAAGAAGAAAAAAAAAGTACAAAAAATTTTCTATTATTCCCAGAGAATCGATTGACATTTCGCACGTAGTACAGTGACCTCGATTTACGTTCACTGGAAATAAGCGAGAGTTTCATCGAGCAAAAATAGCGGCATTTGCTTTCGAGGAAGAACGACGTGGTTAAATTTGATTTTCTGGATTCAAAGAAGAGGATAAAACATTATTCAAATATCGTGTAAACGTCGAACACTGTTTCGAATCGATATTTTTGTTTGATATAAAGATAAGGTTTTCATCCGTCTTATTGATAAGATACATATCACGTATTACGTGCGTGTGTAATCACTTTGAGATGAAAATAATTTTAATAATAATAATGATAATTTACGTTAATCAAGCGTTAATTAATAATCGTTTAATTTTATTTTTATTCCAGTGTCGTTCGTAGTCTATATAAGGTATTCCCAAGTAAAAGAATGTTCGAGCACTTTTAGATTGCAAACGTCCCTACCAAAATGGAATCACTGGGCTTTAATTTTTGGCCTATTATCGACCTTTGGCCTATCGGTCGTTGCGAATTTTCAAGAGACCTCCGTTCTCGTGGTACACTTTATCGGTGCTCTGCTCTGCTTCGGTGGTGGTACCGCATATTTTTGGACACAGGTATGCAAGACAAATGTTTGATGAAAAAAAAGGAAAACGTTTGACGCGATCGTGAAACGCGGTATATCTTTAACGTACTTTAACGTACTTTGATTCCTCTAAAAAAATTCAATTCAAAACTCCTCCAAAAGTTTAAATTTCACGTAACTTTAGTAACTCGGCTTTCTAAAAACTTTCGATTTTTTTTAGAAATCTCTCACTTTCGAAAAAAGAAAAGAAAAAAACAATTCAACAATTCGTCAGACGAAGAAAGAAAGAGACCAGGGAATCAAAATTAGTCAAACGATTGCGAATGAAATTGTATCGCCTGTGTATGTGTAAACCGTGTAACAGCCGCGAATTGCGTAATTTCCTGGAAATCCACGGTTTATCCACGATCATATCGTTCCTCGTTTCTTACACGTGTTCTAATTCGACGCGCGCTTTATTTCCAGGCTGTGTGCACGTTCTACCTGCATCCGCTCGGTTGTTCGCTGAGACTCGCTCACATACGAACGGCATTGTCAACCTTTTGCACCGTTTGTTTCGTCGTAACTCTGATCACCGGTGTGCTGGCACGCTTGGCTTATAAGGGTTGGTTCGTTGCGTTTCCTCTCTCGCGTCCTCCTCAATTCTTGCATCTTGATTATTTCTCTCTCTCTCTCT